CATAGCTCCTTTTTTATAAAGTATTTTCCAAGAATATTTTCCTGTACATATGTTAATAACCAATTGCCCAGGCTGTGGAGATCTGACTCATTGAGATTTCAGATTCAGCTGTGGAGATTTCTACAGTTCAAGAAAGAACAGCCCTTATCCAATAACTCAAGGTAGAAGAGGATATAGAGGCAATCACTTTGTATTTAATAATGATTAAATACCTGCTTTGTTGAAGATACTGGTAAATTGAAGTTTGGGGGAAAACTAAAAGAAGAGTAGAGTGCTTACATCTGAATAGGGAAGCATGTGGAAATGACCAATCTTTGGCCAACTGCCTTCAGTTCTGTTCAAGAATATCATCTCTTTGTGGGAGCAAGTTGAGGCATTTGAGAATTTTGACAAATAACACCCAATGTTGGTCTCTCAATGAAATTTGTAACTTCTCCCCATCACACACCTCAAAAGGTTTCTTCTCTGAAGCATTAGGGGGAAAAATCTGGAGCTATAAAGGATCCTCAGCTGACTGAGGAGCAAACAACATATGTTCTTGAACATCTGTGCTTTTCCTGAGCTATTTTTTCCATTATTGTCAAGAGAAAAGAAGTTTAGTGGAATGTTTCTCCACAGAGGCACAAGTCTATAATACTCCCTGTTGATTACATATAAAAGACACAAAATATTAGTTTATTAAAAGCAGCTTCAACCATTGCTGTACAAAGCAGTTTTCCGATGGAACAGATTTATGAAGTAACGGCTGAAAGGTATGCAGATCACAAGATCCATGACAAATGTACTTTATTACACGGATCAGAAATTCCATATGTACTAGCAGTCACTGTACAATGATACACAACACCCAACTAAGACCACTTAAAGGTTTTTGCTGATATTGAAAACTACAAAGACACAATGTGAGAGTGAGAAAGTGTTTCATAAGATAGCATAATGCCAAGACAATTCATTGCTTTAGGAAATAAAATACATTCTGCATATTATAAACTTAATATATTATAAAGCTATGTTATTCTTTAAATCAAAATTTGAAAGTCTTTAGCCCATTCATTGTTTAAAGCAGATGTTTATAACGTTTTTTCCATACTTTAATTTGAAACTTGGTTGAATGAGTACCAGACTTAACATTAATAAAATTAAGATTTCAGATTTTGTTATTTCCATCAAAAAAAGATACTTAAGTCTAGAATCATGTAGCACCAAAAGACTGGATAGAGCAAAATAAACCCAATACATTTCAAATACAACATTTTTATATAAGGCAGTTCTTGGCTGAAAAGAATGTCAGCAACTTTTGGCCTGAATTCCAAGTACAGCATTTGAACCCATTCTACTATATTTCACTTGGTTTTCCAGCCTGAGCTTGACAGGGTACTACTCCCACTTCAGCTCATTACTTCTCCCAGTTATCTTGATTACAAGGTTCCTCTTTAGATGCAGTCAGGCCCTCTTTATGACTTTGCATCATAGGTATTCATTCTATACTCAGAACAGTTTTGTTCACTACTTAACAGTTGCACTACCTATTCGGTTTTCTAATCTGAAGTTAGGGATAAGAGTATTGTTCCCACACCTTTCTTTGTTTTATATAAGTGAATTTAGCATAATAAGCATTCTCTAAATGTTGGCCCTTTTTGTTGCTGTTTACTACTACCCTAATGAATGAGTCTTATGTGACATGAAATTGTGTTGTTTCCCTGTTCTAAAATAGGTGTGAAAGACCTTTGACATTCAACTATGTAAATTTTAGCATTCTTTTCCTAAGCAGGCCCAACCTTGGCTCTGGTCCTTCTAGCTGCCTGATAGCCCCTGTGGACAGCAGAATGGCTTTTAAACTCTTGTAAGCCTTTAAAGGTCATCCTTCACTCACAAACCCTTTCTTGTAAAACAGGTATGTGTCTGCTGTAATAGTGTTCTCATATGCCAGCAAATACTAGGAAAAAAGAATTATTTATATTTGTGCCTAGCACATGGTTGAATCAATCTGCCAGGTGGCATAAGTCAGCCACTTAGCTAGTAAGATTACCCAAGTCTAGTATCTGAATTTCAATTGCAGTGCTTATAAATTTGGCAATTCTGGCCAGGCACAGTGGTGCATGCCTATAACCCCAGTGGCTCTGAAAGCTGAGACTGGAAGATCACAAGTTCAAAGCCAGCCTCAGCAACTGCAAGGCGCTAAGTCACTCAGTGAGACCCTGTCTCTAAATAAAATTCAAAATAGGGCTGGGGATTTGGCTCAGTTGTTGAGTGCCCCTGAGTCCAATCCCTGGTACAAAATAAATAAATAAATAAATAGATACATAGATCTGGCAATTCCTTGATGTCTCTTTAGAGGCCCCTAATTTTATTTTGTGACTAGCACTTCACTAGCCTAAACTATACACCATTGTCTCTGTCACCACCCACCAGTACATTTCAGATCGTTGAATCAAGTCATTTAGAGCCAGATAGTTTTTCTTCTCCAGCTTCTAAAAATCCTAGATATGTAGGTCCAAATTTTGAAAACATTCAAATTTCTTAACAAGCAAATATACACTGTTGCATATTTTATATAGCATGCAAAGTAGTGGAAAAAGATAGGCATCTACATTAATTTGACAACAGAAAAAATAATGTGGTCAAAACCACTACTTAGAGCTTCAACTGCAGTTCACATTTCTTATCAGTAGCAGCCTGTGCAATGATGATCATAGCCATACCTTCCTCTTTTGGAAAAGGTGGGTCCATTCCTAATGAAGAGTTTCTTAGGAAAATCCAGTCTGTTTTAGGCCCAGAGGTTTGAGGAGCATTCTATGAATCATTTCTTTACTAAAACCTGCTCTTTATCTGATCCCGAGTCTGTATCAACCTAACTCATCATGGGTTGAACCAAAAATTAAGTGTTCTACCCTAAAATCACCTTTTTCTTTTAGCAATTTTGGGCATCCTGAAGAGGCAGATTGTCATTCTAAGAGTACAGGCTCTAGGGCCCAGCTGCCTGAATTTGAATCGCAGGTCTCCTGGTTTTGTATACATGGCCTGTGTGCCTCAGTTTTATTCTGTGTAAAGAGAGAATATTAGCACCCAACTCAGGATTACTGGATGAATTAAATGAATTAATACTTTATGCTATTTTGATTATTCTTAAATATTTGAATATAATTAAAAAAAAACAACAAAAACTTTACATTCAATTCCTAATGCAATAGCTCAACCTAATTCCAAAAATGATTTGGTATTTAGCTTGAGCTCCACCTGGTGGTTTTACAGTTCTCTGAAAAATATCAGTCAAATTAAAAGAAGATAAATTTTAAAAAGATAAGGGGCTGGGGTTGTAGCTCAGCAGTAGTGTGCTCCCCTCACATGCAGAGGCCTTGGGTTCGATCCTCAGCACCATATAAAAATAAAATAAAGGTATTGTGTCCATCTACAACTAAAAAAATTTTTTTAAAAAGATAAGTTAATAATAGATATAAGTGCTATACTATACTTCTCGATTTATCACACCCTGCACTACTTTTGAAACGTCAGTCTAAATTTCTGTGTGTATGTGTATGTGGTACTGGAGATTGAACCTGACTCTATGAATGTTAGGCAAGTGCTCTATCACTGACCTACATGTCCAACCTATTTTAAATATCTGAAGTTATCCACTAACTTCTGAAATGAAATAGAATTAATTAAGAAAAGCCTATTAAAATAACTTCAATTATTTTACTGGCATTACATTTTATAGATTCCAATATTCTATAGGATTTTGGTCATATCCTATCTATCTATACTATGCCCCAGCTTCCTAGGATTCTTGACAGTTTGTGGCCTCATGGCCAAGTGAATTTATTCTAAAAATTTTCACCCTTCACTTGATTTTCTGGTGTATTTAACATCTTCTTCTGAGCAGGTGCACAGTTCTCAGTTCTACGTACCCAGGTAATATTACCCAGTACCTAGAAAAGTCCCTGGCACAAAGGAAGTACTCAATAAATATTTCATTATGTCAGTAAACAAATAAGATTATTAATCTGATTAGACTGGAATTTCAGAGGAAATGAGAAATTTAGATTGATTAAAGTTGATTGAAATTAGAAAATTATAACAAGATATTTAACTAAAACTTTCATTATAGTACCAACATTTTCGATAATGTATTCTATTTCTCAGAAACTGACCTATATAAGACCATATATTAAGTAACATTTCCTGTCATTCTTTGGGTATATAGCATTACCCAAATTGATGTGACCACAATTTTTTTTTCCCCAAAAGCACCTGGAGAAGTGGATTCTGAAAAACATACTCTGGGAAAGCTGTACTATATTATATTTAGGCTACACAATATTAAAACTGAAGAACATTAAGTTTCTAGGAAAAATCTGAGGTGCTTTAATTTGAAACATATTGATTTGTATAAATTCACATATTCCATCTAAGACTTTTAAATAATTTAATGGAAATTTCTGGTCTTCTCTAGTACTGAGAAACCTTCATAATATACAAAAGAAGAAAAGATCAAAGTTTTACACACAAAATATCTTTTATTCTGAATTACAGAAATCAAAACTTCAATCTAGTACTATTTATAAGACCCACTGATGTCACATTTTTAAAAAATATAACTACATAATTGCTTTTTAAATTTGAGTTCACTCAAATTTGTCAGTTTATCATTTTACCTTTATTGGATGATTTTACCAAGTTGTAAGATCCAATAATTACAACCACATCAATTTTTTTTTTTTTTTTTTGGTACCAGGGATTGAATTTAGGGGCACTCAACCACTAAGTCACACCACAAACCTTTTTATTTTTTGAGACATGGTCTCAGTTGCTTAAGAACTCGCTAAGTTGCTGAGGCTGTCGATGAACTTGTAATCCACCTGCCTAAATCTCCTGAGTTGCTGGGATCACATGTGTGTTCCAACACACCTGGTAAACCAACCATATTAATTCTTGACAGAATTTTGATGTCTTATAGTATATAGATATTGAGTGACATCCAATTAAAACATCAATATACCTTTCATTTACCAAAGAAAATACTTTATTCAAGTTTCCAAAACAAACTTGAGGGGTTATTCTAGGTTTGAATTGAAGACAAAAAGTCAACTTAAAATATGAAAATGAATAGTTTTCATTTAGTGACAGTCAAAATCAATGTATACATTCTCCAATCAAACATCTGTCCCATGTAGAATTCTTCAAGTTTTAAGAGTCTACCAGGCCAAACCCTTTGCTGCCTTTGCTGCTTTCGCTTTGCTCTTCCCCTTTCCTTTTTCTCGCTTTGCCTTCAGTCTTTTTCTTTGCCTCTGGTTCATCCACACAGGGTACTGTCCATGCTGGTCTAGAAGAGTCTTTTTGTTTCTCTTAATCTCAGTCTCCATTTTCATGTCGTCTGAATAAAAAAAAAAATATGGAGAAACTATTAACACTTACCCCTGAAAGCATATGAATGCATTGGGCCTATCAGAACTGAAGGCAGACTGAAACTATAAAAAAACCTTTTCTAGAATGCTCTCATTCAGTCAAACAAAACTCCTCACAGCAAACTTGACAAAATCAGACACATGCTATATATTACTATAATCATGAATGACCTAAGTGTTTGTAACTACAGGCACCATCTATTTACTCACTGAGGAACTTTCTAAAGAATGTTGTCCTGATTGTGCTTTGGAATAATAAAGTCAAAAAGGAAGCATTAGGATTTATGGCTTTAAGCTACTGAATTAGTGGATAAATGTATGGTTCTGAGCACATATGTATTATAAGAATGCTTCTCATATTAAGTGATTCCTTGAGTTACATAAGACAGTTGAGCCAGTAAGAAGTGCATCCATACTTCTAATGGACAGGTCTTATAAGTGAATGATGAAGAATGACTGGCCATTTCTTATGAACTTGAACTAAATTTTAATAAACTTAGAAAGAACTTAAATGAAGTCAATGGAATGGTTCAACAGCAGGCTGTGGTAACAAAGATAAGCATACAACAGAGAAGAAAGATCTGGACACATCCTGGGGCTGTGCTGGGGTTGCCACACTTCTAACCAGGCAATACCCAGAGATCCAGCTCTACTAACAGGGAACTTGGCTGAAGTTCCATGAAATTATGCTATGGCATATCTGCCACTAATCTTATTAACTGGTAAGGAACATGCCCAGAATGTCCCTCTCATGTACTTAACCAAGTTATACAAGATCTTCAATCATCTTTACTACCTGATGTTATATTCGGTAGTCACCATTGTTTCCATGCTGCCGAAAATAGTGCTAGTATTTAATAGTTACTCAGTAACTAGTGGTTGAGTGATTACTTTAGGTAGGTTCTGTTAAGAACGTGGAAAAAAGACTTGAGATTTTAAGCATGCCAGTGATATAATCTGGTTTATAATCTAAAAAGATCACACTGGGTAATATGTAGAAGATAAACCAAAAAAGGAAAAAAGCTGAAGAAGACAGAAGCAAAAAGGTTACTATAATGGTATAGGCAAGAGATGATGGTTGTTTTAGTCAGCTTTTTCGCTGCTGTGACTAAAAGATCTGACCAGAACAATTTGAGGGCTCACAGTTTCAAAGATCTTAGTCCACTCAAGATGAGGCAGAACATCATGGAGGAGTATGTGACAGAGGAAAGCAGCTCACTTGGTGATCAAGAAACAGAAGGAGTCTCCACTCTCCATATACAAAATATATACCACAAAACCACACCCCAATTCCTACCTCCTCCAGACAAACCCTATTATTTCAATTACCACTTGGTTATTTCTATCAGGGGATTAATTCATTGATTGGGTTAACATCTTATAACCCAATCATTTCTACTTTGAATCTTCTTGCATTGTCTCACACATGAGTTTTTGGGGGACACCTCACATTCAAACTATAACAATAGTCATTTGAATTAAGATGAATGCAGGAAAAAAACAGATTCTGCTGAAATTTTGAAATAATAAATAAGATTTGTTAATAGTTTAGATATAGAGGAAAAAAGAAAGGATGACTAGTAGTTTTGTGGCTTAAGAAACTGGGTAGGCAGCTGAAAAAATAGAAATAAGGAACGTGAACTTTAAGGGCAGCGATAAAGAACCATCTTGATTACTAAGTAGGACTCTCCTCACTCTCAGTCCTGTCCCCATTTAGCTCCTGAAATACTCTAAGAATGAGGGCATTCTCTAGACATTCCCTAGGCAGGAGATGGATGAGAGAATGCCTCTTTGAGGATGATGAGAAAAAAGAAGAGGGGCTGGGGATGTGGCTCAAGCGGTAGCGCGCTCGCCTGGCATGCATGTGGCCCGGGTTCGATCCTCAGCACCACATACAAAGCAAAGATGTTGTATCCACCGAAAACTTAAAAAAAAATAAATAAAAATAAATATTAAAAAGAAAATTAGTAACATTAAATAACACAAGAACTAGAAAATAAAGTTGAGGAAATTACAGAATATAACGAAAGAAAAGAGAGGAGAGAAAAGAGAAACAGGAGAGAAAAGAAAATTAAAGGATCAATTCAAGACTCAGGAGTGCATGGGAATCTGGCATACAGATTTTAAAATTTTTGGCTTTATTAGTCGTTAGGGAAATACAAATCAAAATTGTAGGACACTAACCCTGTACATTGCTGGTGCAAAAGTAAAGTAGTGTGGCTGAGGTGGAAAAGAATAAACAAAGAATGATATGATCCAGCACTGCCATTTATAAGTATATTCCCCCAAAAAAACAAAAGCAGGCATTAAAAAAAACCAACTTATACACAAATGTTCACAAGAGCACTATTTATAATAGTGAGAAGGTAGAAGCAACCCAAATGCTGTTCAACCAATGAATGGTAAATGAAATACAGTACATAAAGCAGACTATTAACTTAAAAAGGAAGTATTGATATATGCTACAACATGGGTGAAACTCAAAAATATTATGCTAAGTAAGAAAAGAAAGGCACAAAAGACTGCATATTGTATGATTCCATTTCATATTCAAAACAAGTAAGTACATAAAGACACAAAGCACATTAGTGGTTGTTGGAGGCAGAGGGTTCAAGGCTCTTTAATAGGTACAGGGTTTCTTTTTAGATGGTGAAAATGTTTTGGAACTAGAGATGATGGTTACATAAAATTGTAAATGTACTAAGTGCAACTGAATAGTATACTGTAGGGAGAGGGATTGAGAAGAAAATGGTCATTTTTAAGAATGGGAAAGGAAACTTTTAGGATTGTAAGGTTGAAGAATACTGCTCTCTTCCCAGACCATATATACCACATAAACATTATTTCAAGAGTATGGATGCTGGGCTGAGGATATGGCTCAAGCGGTAGCGCACTCGCCTGGCATGCTAAAGATGTTGTGTCCACTGAAAACTAAAAAATAAATATTAAAAAATTCTCTCTTTTTTAAAAAAATTATATGGATGCTGAGAGTGTTTAATTCAACTTGCTGCCAAATTGGTGCATTAGGATGTGAGATCCAACAAACTTTTTGCTCTGCTGAAACTAGCACCTTATACAGTCTCTACCTTAAGACTATGGTTAAGACACAGAGGTCCCTGGAATTTGTGAAAATAAAATCCAGTGGGGCTGGGGATGTGGCTCAAGCGGTAGCGCGCTCGCCTGGCATGCGTGCGGCCGGGTTCGATCCTTAGCACTACATACAAACAAAGATGTTGTGTCCGCCGAGAACTAAAATAAATAAATAAATAAATAAATTCTTTTTCTCTCTCTCTCCCCCTCTCCTCTCTCTTTAAAAAATAAAATAAAATAAAATCCAGTGAAACTGTGATTTTTCAGGATAACTGATAAATACATAAGACTCACAGTATGTTAAGCTTGCAAAGAAGACCTCTTTCTATTCTGTGGGGACTCTGACTGAATTGTGCACCCTTCCAACAAGTCTAGGTTTGTCTCCTGTAGTATCATCTAATCCTCAAGCAGATTATTGTTTAATTACACAAGATCCATCTTGAATAATCCACAACATGCCTATCCACATGAACTGGTTTTAAAAGTTTAGCACAGAATTTCTTATAGCAATGTAGCCTTCAATAATAAATGTGAGCAGATTTCAAGGTAGGCAGAGAGCAGTTACAAAAAAAAAACCCACAAAAAGAAACTAATTTTTTTTTTTAATAAAGCACATAAACTCACCTTTTTCATCATTCACCACACTCTGCGTTTTCTCTTGGCAATGTTTAGGTACCACCACAGTTGCTATTTCTTCAACATCTTTCATTAAAACATCACTGCCAACTTTGAGAATATTTTTAAGTCTGTTGAGCTCTTTCGGAGCATTCTTTTTCCTCTTTTCAGCCCGCATCTTCCTTTTCCACTTACTCCGTAAGCTTTTAGCCATCTTTTACCTGGCAGTTAACAAAAATATACATTCAAAAGCAAATTGTTTACTACTAAAAAAAGGCATATCCCTGGGAAATCAAGACACCAGGTATTTCTCTACAAAACAGGAAAAAATAGAAGATAAGCTCTTCACTCTTCAAGATTTATGACAGCTTAATGTGCAACTTATGTGAGGGTCAATATGGCTCCTATTGTCACTAAATAAATAACAATTAAGAACGTTAAATCAAACTCCCAGTGGTCAAAGGCAAACTGTAAATAAAGCCAATTCTGAAACCTCCTTGGTTTCCCTACAAAATAATTTCCCCCCAAATGCAAAGAGCATCACCATCTTAAGTTTACTAATTAGGAAATGACTTTGACAAACTGCCCTCCAAAGGAATGTGGGTACCAGGAAAGTAGAAGTTACAGATTGTATTCACCGCTGAATTCCTCAGTCCACGGCGGTTTGCGCACAGTAAAGGATGAAGGGTGACTAGCTGAATACCAAAATACGAATGCCAGCCATCACAAACCTACTTGGCCACCTTGTCTACAAGGACCCAAGCCCGGCAGGGGGACAGCATACAGGATTGCGGAATAGTCTTTGAGGGTCAAAGTTAACCTTAGCACGACTGATCGACAAGAAAAGTCTTCATCTTACACAGAAAACGAGCAAGTCAAAGGGCCGCCATCAGGAGCCAGGGACTCTTGTCCTTGACCGAGTCCTGGCTTTTTACACCGAAGAGATCAAACATGGCGCAAGAGGGTCAAAGCTTGGCACGAAATTTTCCACAGGCAGCAAATCGAGCCTCAGATCTCACACCCCACTGTACCCCGGAGGGAAGACGCAAACAACAAACTCACAAGATCACGTTTTGCAAGCAGCACGCTGCCACCGACTGGAAGCCCCCAACTTCCGGCTTCCGGCCGGTGAGCGCAGTGCATGCCGGGAGTCAGTACTGCCGCTAAAGCTTCAGAGGCGGGGCAGGCGCTGATAAGCTTTCTGCTTCAGGTGTTGCGCAGACTTTGAACCCTTGTTGGTCCCATACCTGTACAGAAGTAGGATTTAGCCAATTCTAAACTGCGTTCCAGTTCCAGTCGGCTGTCTGGGCGTGTGTTTACCTGCTTCTGGGAAGTGGGCGCATTAGCACCCGAAACTTATCACAGGGAGTGAATCCCGCCTGGGAACTGTGCACCCAGGTAGAGCAAAGCCCACCTTTAAAAGCTGACCTCACTGGCACCAGCTACTCTAGAGGTTGCTTAAAGCCAATCATCTTAGATCATGGGTTCTTTCAGAGATGTATTGAGGTAATCCTTATTTGCAGCCTGGAAACTCACTCCCATCTTGGTTAATGATCTTGTTGTAGGGACAGATGAAGCAAGGCACTGAAGATAGCAGGAGACAGTTTTATTTGACTGCAGCCAGGTTCAGAGGGCACAGCTTTTGCTGTAATCAATCAATCCCCTGTACCCCGAGGTCAATAGTTCCAGAATTTTATACCCAGTATATAAGGGGAGGGACTCAGAAGTTCACAGTCTGCAGAAGTTCACATAAAAGCATTTTTTTTCTTTCATTGTTCTGGGCAAGTTAACCCTTCAAGGACAACACCTGAGAAGGGGAGAGCTTCTTCTCCCCTTTTATTCCTCCTCCTGCCAGCTGTTACCATGGAGCCCAATTGGTAACTTCTCTTACCTTAAAAATGCAGACATCTCTGTGAAGCCCAGCTCAAGGCCAGAGGCCTTGTTTGCACATTTCTACAAACTACTATACTTGATACATTTGTGAAAAACTAGTAAGGGGGTGTCCAGCAGTGGAGTGCTGATATCTTCCCTGCTAGTGGCCAAGTAAAACAGAGCGACAGGAAAATAGGAAGCTTATCTACATTGAACTCTTTTGCTGACAGTCCCCAAATCAACCATGTTGAAGATTTCTGGAGAAGCCCAGTTAAGACTTTTCTGTAGAGAAAGGGGGTGCCACTACAATCTTACAGAAGTACACATATGCCAAAACTTAGCAAATTGTACACTTTAAATACTTGCAACTTATTTTGTCAGTTATGTCTCAAAACTGTCACCCAAATCAGAAAGTAATCCTATTCCTAAAGGAGAATTTAAAGTATAAAATTTAATTGTTTCACTTCAAGTGATGTTTACCTGTCTGAACGCTTACATGCGAGGAAGTGCTACACCTAGTACATTGAGCTCACGAACAACACTGTTATTTAACGTATACTTTTTTTTTTCCCTTTCAGTACTACCAGGGAATGAACTCAGGGGCACTTAACCATTGAGTCACATCCCCAGCCCTTTTTTGTATTTTATTTGGAGACAGGGTCTCACTGAGTTGCTTAGCACCTTGCTAAATTGCTGAGACTGGCTATGAATTCTCAATTCTCCTGCTTCAGCCTCCCAAGTCAATGGGATTACAGGTGTGTGCCACTATGCTGTCCCTAACTTATACTTCTTATGGTATAAGCATTAGAACCACACAGGTCGGTGTTGTATTTTTGGTTAGAACATTTGAGAATAATATGGTATTGAGAGTCTGGATTTCTTAGAACAAGTTTTTTTTTTTTTCCTCTTTTTTTAAACATTGGGCTGAAAAAATCCTAGGCTTAAAAAAAAAAAAAGAAAACCTAGTTTCTTTAAATGGAAGATTGTGTCTATCTTATGTTAACTGTATACCTGATTTTTCAAATTAGAATTTAGCCTCATTTCCCCAGAAATATATCTGCATATTGCATTTTAAACTAGAGTAAATTCCCTTTCACATAGTCAAAAATGACTGCATCTTGCTTAACATACCTGACAAAGAGTTTTGAATAGAAATTTTGCAAAAGAAACAATAACCTATTATGAAAATTATTGTGCTAAAATACATGTCACAATTCAGCATTACAAATACTTTATAAAACAATCATGGACTATGATATAGGGAAAAAAAGTTTTAACTCATGTCCAGTTTGTACAAATGAATTTCTAACAATAAATGGCCTTAGCATATTTAAAAACTCATAAGCCACTCTCATTCACACATTCAAGTATAAACTCTGCAGTAGGCACTTTTCTAAATATACAAAGGTGAAGGAAAACCAACAACTGTGTTTGGGACACTTTAACCCCTGATGGAAGAATAAGGATTAAGGATCAATCTGGATATGGCTATAACTCAAGAGAGCTGGAAGGAGCTTATGGAACTAAAGGTACAGTGGGTAGTGTTGAATACCTGGCTGAAAACCAACCTATTCTCCATCCAAAAGGCATGCTAAACTACTGGCTTCATCCAGTGAGTGGAATCCATGATCTGCATAATGATTTAGTAAGAAACAAGAATATTTCTGGAATTCAGATGGTGACTTCATATTGCCAATTCCCTAGATCATGGATACTTTAGGACTAAACTCTACAAAGATACTAAGTAAAAACAACAACAAAAAAATCTGTTCCCAATTCCTCCAAAAATGCCTGCTGTTATCACTCATTGCCAGAAATACATGAAGTGAATTGAAGCTAGGTCTGAGGCGTGTAAAGAAGTGAAGGCAGGTACATGGGACCCACAGCATCTCTTAAGCTGAATGATATTAAATAAACACAGAAGTTCTCACTTCCTGCTCTTCTCTCATTCTCTTCCTACTTGTTGTTCTTTTGTCCCTTGTACACTGAGTTGCCAGTTGCTCTGTCAACCTGCTAATGCCACTTTCTTAGTATTTCTTAAATCTGCACATTTTCACCTCTGGTAAAAAACTGAAAGTTGCACATGTCATTGTACCTAGAAAACTGTCATGCCTATGCACAGTAGGACACACAAAGATGTACAGAGTAGCATTGATGGTGACAGAAAGGAGCAACCATATAAAATTCATTAATAGAAAAATATATGATTTTGGTTCATGTAATATTTTATACCAGTGGTTTTCAAAACTTTTAGTGTGATCCCTTTAGACTTAATAATTATGGTATATATCAGAAATTAAAATAATTTTTTGAAAATTTAAGTCATTTCAAAGGGATAAATTCATTAGGTGGCATTTTTATTTAAATAACTATTTCCTAAATAAAAAATAATTTAGTAAAAAGAATGGCAATGTTTTACATTTTAAAATGCCAAATCTGCCTTTGCTTATTGTCTTTAGTCACAATTCAGTCTATTCTGCATTTGGATTAAAATGATACTAATAACAGCAGCTTACATTAATTAATCATTTAGTTTATGTATTTATCTCATTTTATCCTTCTGAAAGCCCAATTAGGCAGGATTTGTTATGATTATTCCCATTATAAAAATGAGGCAAGACCTATATAAGGAAGGGAAGTAACTTTTCCAAACATGTAACTGGTCACATATAATAAGGATTCCAATCTAGATGTTTATACCTAACATGCTATGCTAAACTTGATTGTAAAAAACCAATCAATTGATGATAGTCAATTAACATCTAAAAGTCATTGGAGACTAAATCCATATAACTAACTGAATTCAACTTAGTACGTATGAAATGATGTACTTAGTGAGTGTTATGGACTGTGTCCCTAAAAATTCATATTATGAAGTCCTAACTCTCAGTAGCTCAGCATATGAATGTATTTGGAGATAGGTCTTTAAAGAGTTAACTAAGGAAAAATGGTCATTAGGATGGACCTTAATTCAATGACTGATGTCCTTATAAGAGGAAGAAATTTGGACATAGACAAACACAGAGGGAAAACAAGGTAGAGACATTATGAAGACAGCCATCTACAAGAAGAGAGGTCTCAGAAGAAACCAACCCTATCTACAACCTCATCTTGGACTTTCTAGCCCACAAAACTATGGAGAAAATACATGTCTACTGTTTAAGCCACTCTTTCTATAGTACTTTGCTATGGCTGCCCTAGCAAACTTTATTTAATAAAGTATTCTCTTATTTGTTGGGGGATATATTCCAAGATTCCTGATGGATACCTAAAACATATAGTACCAAACCCTATGCATACTATGTTTTATCCTATACATGCATACTTAGAACAATGTAAACAAAAATTAGAACAATGTACTGTATAGTAAAAGTCATGTGTACAGTATCTTTCAAAATATCTTATTGTTCTGTTTTCACCATTCTTTTTGTGATGTGAGACAATACAATGACTATGTGATGAGATGAAATGAGATGATGCAGCACTGGGCTGTGTAGAGGTAAGCTACCATTAGTCTTCTGACAATGTGTTAGAAAGAAGATCCTGGATCACTGAGCCATGAAAAAATGGGTAATGTATGCAGTGTAGATATGCTGGACAAAGGGAAGATCATGTCCCAACAGGATGGAGAAGGATAGCATGAGACTTCATCATGCTACTCAGAAGGGGATATGACTGGGGATAAGGTTGTAGCTCCTTGGTGGAGCACTTGCCTAGTATACGTGAAGCCCTGGGTTCAATCCTCAGCACCACATAAAAATGGATAAATAAAATACAGATGGATATTATGTCCATCTATAACTTAAAAAAAAAATTTAAAAAGGGCATGCAACTTAAAATTTATAAATTATTTCCAGAATTTTCCATTTAACATTTTTAGACCACAATTGCCTACAGGTAAATGAAACCACAGAACATGAAACTGCAAATAATGAAGGAATACTATATAGTAAGGGAATCTGCCAAAGTTCCATTGATCACTGATACACTCATCTACATGCTGTATGGACCAACACAAATGGAACCACAAGACACTAGTTTTCAAATACTTTTATTTTGAATACATATACTTAATGTCAAATGAACCAGTATCTTTGGGGGTCCTTTAGTCACACGACCATTCTATAATTTTAAAATGAAACCTTTATTTACAGAGATAAATAACTACTATCAAAATTTTATAT